GACTTGTGACTGTTGCTGGCTATAAAAAGTGTGCGCCACTCATCCGTCCCAGCCATCCATCCCCCATACGCCGTGTGGTACCAGTACCAGGAGTAACAACACGGCCAAATGACACATACAGGTGGGGGAGGGTCTTGAGTTATGGGTGAAAATTTGTGAAAACGTGTACGAAAACGTAGCCTCTCTAGGTAGGTTTTTCTTGGAATATTATCTATTCCTTATACATTGCTTAAAGAATAATTAACGCCTTATTACCTTTGCCAGAAATTTTAAACTTGCTTTGAGTGGTTAACTTTTACTCTTTACTCAGTTTTTAATGCAATACTGGTGATTTATAAACTTTAAAGTGTTTAAATTTTGAATAGAGGGAAAGAAATGAGAATACTTACAGTGAGCACATGAAAAGTCGTATAATTTTTTACTACTTTGAAATATTAACAATTAAGTTTGGCATTTCCATTAACTTCAAGGTAAACTTTCAACTTTTTTTCCACCTCAACACTATTCAAATTATATGATATAATATATTTTAATAATTTATAAAACCAATTTCTAGTTCGTTTCAAAGAATTATGACTGTGTGCCACCTGGGGGAGGGTTGGTCTATAAGACAGGGGCACATGCCACACGACTCTTATTCCGCGTGCCCGCGAGTATTCGAGTATTCCTCGAAATGTGTGACGCAGAGAGGTGACTGAGAAGGCGACTGAAGTTTGTTATTTCGATTTTCCACCCAACCAAACCGAACCGAGCGATCGGAAGGTGGGGCATTATTATTATGGCTACTCACAGATCCTCGGGGTGCCGTCACTTGCACCGGTGCCCTGCAATTGTCTCCGCGAATATACGCTTTCGTTTTTGGGTTTATTTTTAGAGCCCTAATGCCGACGTACCGAGAAGCAGCAATTATCTGTGCGGATATCTATCTGTCTATCTGCCAGATATGATGGTGTATCTTGTGCCAGGCAGCTACTTGTGGATTCTTTGTTCGTGGCTCGGTTATGAATCGCTCGCTCAGGTATTACTCATTCGATGTTAATTTAAAAATTTCGTTGATTCGATTATTGTTTATAGTTAGGATTGGGTTAGGCCCGCGCTCTCTCTATTCGTCTCTTACTCGTGGGGGGCGGCGTAGGTTAATTTGGTCTATTCTATTCTAGTTTTGTTTTTCTCGCGCGCGCGTTTCGCGTTCGTTTCGTTTGCGTTGTTGGTTCGTTTCACACTGACTGCGGAAAGTCACTGAATTTTCCGCTCTGGCGAGAAGCAAATGTGTTTCTTTTTTTTCGGCAAGCGGACGTCTTGCTCTTCGCTGCTGCTACTGCATTTTCCGAGAGTCTGAGGTGAGCGGATGGTCAGAGAGCTCCTCCCTCGCCATCGCACCTCGATGTTGCCAGACCGCTGCCAGTGGGCCAATGTGGCGTATGCGTAATGCGGGTTTTCCACTCTAGAGCGTTAAGTGTTCATTGTTATTTGTTTGCCAACCTTAATTACCAACGACAAGTCCCGGGGGAATTAAGTTACGGCCTATGTGGGTTTGTTGGCCACTAAAAAAACAAAAGATGATTCCTGGCTCACTTTCCACTCTTTGTGGGATTACAGGAAAATCCTCAATTTCCACGGAAATCCACACAAATCACAGCCAAACCGCCAGTGCGCATTTGGAAAAGTTTCGGTATCAAAATCTAGCTGATTCGTGTCCATGTTTAACCTTCAGTGGCCACGCATTGGACCTTGAATTAGAAATTAATTAGAGTCGGAAGCGGAGGGCAGTGGCAGGACACGACCGCTCAAGGACTCGCCATCGTGTGTCCCTGTGCTGGTGCGGCATCTACAGGTAGCCGCAGCAACGACACCCACAATCCTCGAGCCCTCGAGCCCGCCATTGTTTCGATTTTCTAACGAAATCGAAACTCTACACGCTGACGCGAGTCAAACAAAAAAATACACAGAGAGCGAGAGAGAGAGCAAGCGACTCGGCGGAAAATCATGGGGTTTTCCCCGTGGCAAGGGGTGCTATAGGAGTAGGGGGAGAGAGTCACACATACTGCGCTTCGGGAAATGCATTCCACATCTCCAAAGGGAGGCTGCTGCATCCTTGATGCCGCTGCAAATGGCCCGTCAAAGTGCTCGAAAGTGGAAACTTTTCGCTGGTGAAACAACTCCGTCGTCGTCCTCGTCCTTGTCGAAAAGTGCCTCAAAACTTTCCAGCTTTCGTTTTGGGTAAATAATTCATGGCGAATATATTTTTAAGCACACAAACACACCAGTGGCACTCACGCACATACACACAGTCGCGTAACCAAAACAAGCTCGAAACCAGGGAAAAATCCTGACAATTCCGGGTTCCTCCCGCTGCGACCAAGGACGAGCACTCGCCTCGACTGTCCTGTGGCAACTGAGCCCGATTGCACTGCCTGTCATACACTCGCTCTCTCTTCCCTAGCTCCTTGCTCCTTGCTCCTGGCTAATGCCTCCTCACCACCCATTTTCCCACCCGGTGACCAAGTTTTCCTCGGCTGGCGCTCGGCTCTGGTGAGCCGAAGAGTTCCCTTCGTGGATGGCAGCATGTAGGCCACAACAGAAACGAGCCTCCTTTTTATTGAATTTTTGAGCACACGCATGGCACGACATCCTTTCGCCTTCGCTCGTTCCCCCCAAAAAAGAGAGCTTTTCCGCAGGCGGAAAAGGGGGTTAAGGAAAAGCTGAAAGCAGGTCCGTATGCTTGCGGTAAATTGCAGGGCAACAAAGTTGTAAACAAATCATTAAAGTGCTGGAAACAACTGCGGGGGTGGCGGCGGTGGACAACTGTCAGGCGCAGCGGTTTCACAGTCGGCTTGAGTCCTGCCAGAAGGATTCGAGAAGAGTGAGTGGGTTATTTTTTTTTTTGGGGCAGGCTCAGAGCTTTATCAAGCTTTTCCCAGCGTGCGTATGAATAATCTCATTTCGGATGACCGTTAACCCCTCAGCGAAATATCAAAAACGGTTAAGAAACATTGTAAAGAAGGCTAGTACATATTATAAAAAATAAAGACGTTCAATATTGTAAACTGTATACCTTAACTGGAAAGAGTACTTGTATGTTTTTAAAAAGTTTGTAATGCAAAGTAAATGTATTTGATTTTGTCTTTAATATTTAAATACTTAAATACCAACTACACCTACAGTGCGTATACGTAATTTTTTATGTAACTCGCTGACTTAGGAATGATCGGTAAATTGTAAGTATTTTTATCGTAGCTTATATGTACAGATTAAAAATAAAGAAGTACTATTAGTTTTATTACAATTATATAAATATTTTATAATTACAGTCTTCTATTATATTTACTGCTTTAAATTTCATTATGTCTGCCAGAGGTCTCCACAGTTTTATAAGCTTCTGACTAAAGTTATAATAGTTTTCTTTGAGTCGATTTTTTCTATATTTCATATGACAATTTTGTCTATAAATAACATTTAAAAAAAACTTATAACTTAGCCAAAAATGCAGTAATTTCAAATCGGAAACCTTTTATGTGCTAGTTTTTATCATGGCAATAAAACTGCATACTTAATTTAAAATGTTAAAAAATGAAAAATTTTGTCGATTTTTGACAATTTTAGTGATGTAACCCCTTATCGTTTTTTGCGAAAATCGAAAAAATTTTCAACAATTTTATTTCAACCGGACATAGTTAGATCGGTTAAGCTGTTGATTCTGATCAAAGATATATATGATTTATGGGGTCGGAAATGACTGCTTTGATGAGTTTTAAGTTTCTGACTGATCTTATAATACCCTGCAAGGGTAAATTTGTGTACCAATACCATTACCATATCTCATAGTTCTCACCGGAAGTAGTCTGCGCCATCTGTCGGACAGCCCCTAAAACTTTTTCAATGGTGTCTCTTGAAATTCGCTCAAAAGCTCGTCTATTTCATTGAAACCATCGCCTAGCAGAGAGAAAACGTAAACAAACGTTGTTGGGAAGCCAAATTGAGCGAGAGAAAGAGCTTTTTGTGCAAAAACAAATGATTATTGTTTGCTCACCGTTGGTTGTTGATTCTGAGAGCCACAGCTGCGGCTGTAAAAAGTGTGTGTGTGTGTGTGTGTGTGTGTGTGCGGAGCTGAGTAAGCAACTGTCGCTGTTTCAATGTTCGTTGAGAGTTAGAGCAGGCAGGAAGAGAAGGCAAAGACACAGTGGACACAATGCATTTGGAGAACAGGTAAATTTCCAGGTAGTCAGAAATCTGTTTGCTTACAATGTTGCTTCGCCTTTGGGTTTTTCCTGTCGTAGATTAGCAACGGAGAAAAATGCTGGGAGAGAAGTGAAAGGAATGTAATGTGTAAATTACTATGACAACATCATTAAATACCTTCAAGCAGAGTATTACATTATTATTATTAGTTATGAGTTTTAGTCCCTATAAAAACATGCTTGCTTTATTATTAATAATATTACAACATATCCTGGAAACGATCTCATTCTCTGCGCTGCGATCCATTTTCGGGGTGACTTTTTGTGCCAACAGTCAGCGTGCCACAGTGCAACACGAAAGCAACAAAGATGACTGGCCTGAGCTGTGTGTACCTCCTCCTCCACAACCCCCTCCTGGCTGCCTCGCATCTGTTTCTTGGCATTTGTACCGCGCAGTTGCCGTTGCTCTGTCCCTCGTATTGTTTGTATTATTTGTTGTTCGTTCGCAGCAGCAGCAGCAACAAAAGGCTGCCAGCTGTGTGTGTGAGTTATAAATGTGTTCCAGAGAGAGAGAGAGAGAGATTGCTTGTTCTCTGTTTGCTCGCCGTTCGCTCGCTCGTTTGCTGCCTTGTTGTTGCCTCAGCGTTCTACGTATCCGATAGACACTTTCAGCTCTCTCTGCAGCTGTATCTGTATCCCAGTATCTGTGTGTTTGCTTAGTCGCCTCGGTCGCTTGGAACGCGAGACATACGACATCGCAACAACAGGCCAACACATCCAACAGTCCGCCGCCGATTCCCGAGCACCGAGCACCGAGCACCGCCACCGCCACCGCTAACCAAAACACGCAACACTCAGGCGGAATCAGTCGTTACGTCAGTCGCTCAAGTTGCCGTTGTCGTTGTTATTGTTGTTGTTAGTGTCGTTGTCATTGCAGTCGCGGCAACAAATATAATTTTTGGCGCCGTTTTTTTGCTGTGCCGCGCAGTGTGTCGCGTTTTGAAATCGCTCTGAAAACAAGCCTGTCTACCAGTCTTTTGGTGTTTTGAAATCGCCTGCCAGCAAGGAGTTGCAGTAGCGGTCTTTAAGTCACCCCCCAGAACCAGGAATACCGAAAAACATAAGATATGCCATAACTGGAGTTTCAAAATCACTTTTTTAGAAACACCCCAGAGTTTTGAAACATAAAAACCCGTCTATATAAACAAGACTCGAATCGAATCGAAGAAAATCGAGTGTTATATTACCAACAAGTTATAAATCATTGAAAATTACGGATATTCGAGTTAGTTACGTTTCGAAATCGCTTTTCAAAATCACCAAGAGCTCTCAAATATCCTGCCTGCAGTCACAAACAGCCCTGCGAACGTCGCCAACACAGGTAACTCATCTTCGAATAACAAAACAATACTCCGCCATAGTGATTCAATCTTTTTAAACAACATCGCACTAACTGTTCTAAAACAGCAACAATATAATACCCAAGCGATAAGCACCAACAACAGCGTTCAAATCGCCAGCTAGAAAAATTCTATATGCCATATTGTTGCCCTCCGTGTGTGTGTGTGTGTGTCTATTGTTGCTGTTGTTCTATCTAACAAAGTTATTGCTTTTGTTGTTGTTGTTGTTGTTGTTGCTGTCATTGGGCCATGGAGCAATATACAATATGTAGGGAAGGCGGTAGGATCGCGGGGGGAGCGCAGAGCGAGCGCCGGGGATTTCTGCAAGTTTTCTGTCTGTTTTGTTAGCTTTAGAAATAAATTCTTTATTTTTTTTCCTGCTGTTTTTTGTTTTTGTGTTTTCGGTTGGGTTTTGTGTTTTGTGCTGTTTCTGTGTGTTTCGGCGACTGCCTTCTTGTTTTTGTACGTTGCTGTACTTTTTTATTTGATTTCTTTTTTTTTTTTTGTATTTTTGTTGTTTTGTGCCCCGTTGTTAATATATAAACATGAACATTTCTCGAAGTATAAGTACAAAAACACACAGGCGAAACGCTCATGCTGATATGTTTATGTTAAATAGACGTAATACAATAAATATTGCTATAGCCAGGTTCAGTTGTTTTTTCTGCTATTTTTCCTGCTGTTTGCTTTCCCCGCCCATTTTGTACATAGCAGTCCAACGAAACATTAACAAAAACAACAACTGGCAGAATCAAAACACGCGCACAACGTTCGCCGCGATAATGATAATGATGTTCGTTGCTAATAATGATGACGGGCAGAAACAAAACAACAATTCTGAGAGCTCACAGTGGGCTGAAGCAGTGCAGGAACTGTGTTATCACAAATTAAATATATCGCTGTAATTTAAATTTGTTATTTAGTCGCTTATTTGTATCAACTTGCATATAAACTATATTAAAATCTGGTTCATTTCTATACACATTGTTAAGACATTTGGCCCCGTTGCTAGTTCTGCCTCCTTAGTTCAATTTTCCTTGTTTTGACCCACTGTGCGCACGTTTTTCACCGTGCCAAACTGGTGGGCTTAGCGCAAGGTGCTCAAAGTGGCGGGAAAACTTTTGGTGGATATTCAAGAGAGGCCCGAAATCGAAGTCGGGCTAAAAGAGCTAGGAGAGGAGCGGGTCTCGAGTGAGTGGGCTGATTAGAATCGAAACAGGTAGTCGCAGGTGCAAGAGCCATTCATTTTGGGTGAGTTTAAACGGAGTGAGTGAGTACTTGCAGACACTCACACTCGCCAAACTGTACTGAAAGCGAAATAATAACTATGTACAACAAAGTCGGCCGCAATGTTTTATTAAGTTTCACAAAATAAACATACAAATGTATGAATGTATATGTATGATGAAAAAGCTCTATCGCCCGCCGCCCGATTGCTGAGACAGCAGCAGCAACAGAAACAGAACAGAATAAAAACCGAAACCGAAACCAACACTAACAAGTGACACGAGAAAACGAAAAGAAAACCGAACGAATGAACAAAAAATAAAATAAATAAGTCTCAGAACAAAAAGCGAAAAAGCTGACAATTCTCTTTGTTTGTCAGTCGCCGTGAATAAATAGGAAAAGGGATAGGAGAGTCTACAAATCGAATATGGGATATTCTAGGTGAGGAAACTGCAAGTTTATATTGTTTGAAATTATCCTTAAAACAATTAAAAAAATACCCTTTAAAATAGTAATATGGCAATGGGGAAATTCTAAGCACAAATAGTCTGTGATTTGAAATCATCAGTAATTAGAGCTAATAACAAGTATGCAACAAAAAGGTTTTGAAATAGAACACGGATTTTGTAAAATAATAGTTTAATAAATCAATAGTTACTATATTATAAATTTCTTATAACACTTCAGTACCGAGTTAATATAGATAAAAAGTTTTCGATGACAAACTACGATTTAAAATAAACTGACATCGATATTTCAAGTTCCAGTATAGAGCTCGAACCGTTTGAGTTTGACTGTTAAAGCAAATATTTATTCAAGTTCGGCCCATAAATGACAACAAAATTTATAAATAAAATGGATAATAAAACGTAATACTCAATAGGCATCTCCTTTCTTTTTACAGGCTGCGAGTTTGCTTCGGAAATTTGCCATCGAATATGACAACCTCAACGCATAGCAATACGAATAGCAACAACACCGCCCACCAAGAGAGCGAGGAGCGACCCCCTGCCGCCAGCACCACCTACACCCACCACAGTCCGACGGGATCGGGATCCGGAGTGTCGATCGGATCCACCAACCGAGTAATGCAGGCGGACGAGGACTTCAACATCCGGTTTGTCAACTTGGTGCGGAATCACAAATGTATCTACGACAAGAAGGTGCCCGAGTACCGCAACAGGTGAGTAAAAAACCCCCGGTTGAATTTTCTATATGTAACTTTATTAAATCTTTTATTTGGTTTTAAAGAGACAACCAAGAAAAGGCCTGGGTGCTGATATCCAAGGAGACACGGGAAAGTGGTGAGTGCTATACACATTTCTCCAACTTAAACCTCTACTAAATAAAGATATCCTGTTTCCTTAATAGTCATACACTGCAAGGAGCGATGGCGAAACCTGCGTGCCTGCCTCTCCCGCTACATCAAGCAGCAGTCGGGGTCGGAACCGCAGCACAAACCCTACTATCTGACCGAACATATGGCCTTCCTGCTTCCCTTCCTGAAGTCCACCCGCAACTCCCTGGAGGGAAACACTAGCCTGGCGGCGCTGTACCAGCTGTCCCAGCAGCATCAGCATGGCCGTTCGGAGCATCTGTTTCACCCGGCTATCCATGGCCACGATGAGAGCTCTTACTGCTCTCCCTCTAACATCAATCATAATACCAACAAGAACGGCATCAGGACCGGAGAGGTGTTGGGGCTGAATGGGGAGCAGGTGCTAGAGATGAAGCACTCGATATCGGAGAATGGCGACGACGAGGAGACCATTGACGCTTTCGATCCGGCGGTGGCCAATGTCCTTGGTCTGGATCATGCACCATCCACGCCTACGATCAGCATGGCCCAGGTGACTGGACGAGCCGGTGGAAGATCGCCGGCCAGAAGTGATACGGCAAGTGCGGATAGCATGCAGAACTTCATTCCGGATGTGCAGCTGGCCGAGACCGGGTCGCAGCTGATATACAACGATGAGGGACGTGGCACACCACCGCCGCTGCATTATCACCCGCACATGCTTCCAAATCCCATGGCTATGGCCATGGGAATGGAACACCGTCCATCGTCCTTTGAACCGACGAGTGCCAAGAGGATTAAGACGGAATGCGAGGCCTCCAGCACGATGACAAATAGTGGGAGTTTCTGCGGCGGCCTAACCGTCTCAGAAATGGCCGACATGGAGTTCTTTCGCAGCATTCTTCCTGACCTGGCATCTCTGACTCCTCAGCAGCGTCGCAAGTTTAAGATTGGGATCCTGGAACTGATCGACGATGTGGTAACGCGGTATCCCCCCGCCCCGGAGAAATGTAACGGAGGAGTGAACGGCAGTGTCAGCAACGGTGTATCCACCGGAAGTCGAAACTCTAGACGCAGCTCTGGCCGCGAATGGCGGAAGCAGTGAAGGAGGAAAGGGGAGAAGGAGCAGAAAGTCACTAATCCTTAACTAGAATTATGATAAGTTAGTTAGCTGCTTAAGGTGGCTCTGGAGCTGGGATTAGGTGCCATTAACGCTGGTGCCTCTAGGCCAACTTCAGTCCGCTCACTGTCCAAGTGTTGTGTGCGCTCAATAAGATGCGTAAGTATAGGGTCCTGCCAGGGTTTTCGCTTCCTAAATATATATTTGATTTCTATTTCAAAGATGTCTTAAATCTAATTGAAGTTACTAATCTATTTTAACAATAGCAGAAAATATGTACGAAAGTTGATATAATCAGGAAGACGGTAATTTAATGAAGCATTCTTTTGAAATCTATTGATATCTGACCGTCAAACGCGTAATTATTTGATATTTAAAGGTTCTACAATTTAAAATTGATAATTTCAAAATTATGTTGATCGCGGTAATGTCGTCGATACAACACATCGAAAGTTTCCTACATATTTTTTATCAGCTTTAATTTTATATAATCTGAAGAACTAAAACTATATTGCTAAATAGCACTTCAAGTTGAAGTTACAATTAACTATTTATCTTTACAAGTATGAAGACTAAATTGAACTTGAATTGAAATCAAATAAATTGTGAGGAAGTGCTAGCCTGATCAGTCCTTATAAGCCATTAAGCTCAAAAGGGACTTGGACCACGAGAAAAGAATCTAGTGTATGCAGTAAATTTGTAAATTAAAGTATTTACAGATTTATTGAATGAAGAAATTTGTTCTCTTTCGCTTCACTTGCCAAGTTCACTCAGAGCATAATAATCTAGATGTACGGAGTCTGTATATATGTCTAAACTATAGAATCGATGTACAAAGCTGTTTCAAGTTAAATCAAAGAATAAGATATAAAGGGAATGAATGACGTCAAACTGCTGTGTCAAATAATAAACAAACAAGTAAGTTTGGAAAATTACACGGTAAACTTTAATTTAAAATCGCGACAACTTCATCATAAGCATGTAGGGTCTTTCGCAGGGGCCAGGCCCCGTCTAGGCTAGCTCTCCCCGCTGAGAGAAATGCACAGGGACGAATGGCCCGTCCCTGTCTTCGCACTAAAAGCTAAATTTCGTTGGCTGGGATAATCGGATTGGATCGGATCTACAACTTCGAGGAACCAGCCTTGGGGTAGAACTTCTTCGTAGGGTCCTTGGCCATGTCGAGCAGGGTTTGTGCCGGCTTGAAGGGGGCTCCGTACAGCTCGGCGTACGACTGCATCTTGCTGACCAACTTACCGGCTCCGTATTGATCGACCCAGCGGAAGGGGCCGCCGGAGAATGGCGGGAAGCCCAAGCCGAAGACAGCGCCCACATCGCCCTCCAGCGGACTGTCTAGGATCTTCTCCTCCAGACACAGGACTGCCTCGTTGACGAAACGCGACACCATGCGCAGAGTCAGATCCTCGGGCGTGTTGGCACCCTTGGAGACCAGGGAGTACTTCTGCTTGACGATCTCCAAGGCGTCATTGTTTACCGGACGGCTGCCTCGCGTCTGACCATCGTAAATGAAGATGCCTTTGCCAGACTTGCGTCCAAGGAAACCGGCCAGCACCAGGTCGTTCATCACCTCAAGATTGCCGCCGCTCAAGCGCTCACCGAACGCCTTCGCCAAATCGCTGGCAATGTGAGAGCCCACATCGATGCCAACCTCATCGGCAAGAGTGGCTGCACCCACGGGGAATCCAAACTTCTTGGTGTATTGATCCAGATCCTTGGGGTCCACGCCCTCCTGCAGCAGTCTGAAAGGATGTGAAATTTCAATAAGGTTCTAAGGAACTAAGGACTCTTAGATAAACAACCTAATGGCCTCCGACAGCATGCCGGCGAGGATGCGGGTGGTGTAGAAGCCGGGACCGTCGCCAACAGTGATGACTACCTTGCCCTGCTTAAGGCCCACGGCCACAGCCTGGGCCACGGTGTCTTTGGAAGTGCCCGGATGCGTGATGATTTCTAGCAATTGCATCTTGTCCACGGGCGAGAAATAGTGCATGCCAACCACCTTATCGGGACGGGAGCTTCCCGCTGCGATTTTGGTGATGGGAATGGCGCTGGTGTTGGTGGCAATGACACAGTGCTCCGGGACAACAGCCTCCAACTCCTTGATCACACGGTGCTTAACGTTGATGTCCTCAAACACAGCCTCAATGATTATGTCCGCGTTCTTAAAGTCGGCGTAATCCAGAGTGGGTCGCAGGTTGGCTAGAGTTTGGTCGCGCTCCAATCCGCTGATTCTCTTGCGCTTGACGGCCGTCTCCAGACCCTTTTGCACCTGACCGATGCCGCGAGCCAGGCCCGCTTCGGTGGCATCCTTCATTACCACCTGATAGCCCTTGTCCACCGACACTTGAACGATACCAGCGCCCATGAGGCCGGCTCCCAGTACACCCACAGTCTTAACCTGACGCTGGGGCTTGCCAAAGCGATTCTTCTTGCACTCGGTCTGGCCCCGGAACAGGGAAATCAGACCCTTGGACTCGGGCGTGGCCGACAGCTCACCGAAACCCTTGCGCTCTGCCTCGTAGCCCGCATCCAAACCCTTATCCACACCGGCACGAACCACATCCAGGATCTGTTGGGAAGTCAAAGTTAACTAAAAGCTCCGGGACACTCTGGTTTAAAAACGAACCTTAAGGGGAGCGGGATAGAGGCCATTGGAGGCCTTAAGTACCTGCTTCTTGGCAGTCTCGAAGATCTTGTTCTTCACAAAGTCCGTATCCATGATGAACGACTGGATCTTGTTGACCAAACCACTCTTTTCGCGATTCACCTATAGAAGGAATGAGATAAGAACAAAAATACATTATCTGCTGGGATCAAAGGTTAATACTCTATGAAATGTAATTGTGTTGGTTTTTGATATATGAGTTTTGAAATAGTTTCTTACGCGAATTTTGCCACTGGCCAGGTCCTTGGCCACCTGAATGGCCGTCTTCTCGAGGTATTCGATGGTGTTCTGATCTGCGGGCTGCAGTCCCGGGCCGAGGGGATCCACCAGCAGATCAACAATGCCCAGACGCTTGGCGCGATCCGCGCGCACCTGCTTACCGGTTAGGCCCAAATCCAAAGCCGTCGGCACAGAGGTGAGCTTGGGCAGACGGACAGTGCCACCGCCGCCGGGCAAGAGGCCCAGCATGACCTCGGGCAGGCCCAGCTTGGTCTTGCTATCCTTGGTGGCGATGCGGTAATGGCAGGCCAGCGCCAGTTCCAGTCCTCCGCCCAGGCACACGCCACTAATAGCGGCCACAATGGGTTTCCGGCTGCGCTCCATCCGGTCGAACATTATTTGGGCGCCGTGCGAGATCAATGTGGCCTCCTCCGCCGTCTGGCAGGCCTCCAGCATGCCGATGTCGGCACCGGCAACAAAGCATCCGGGCTTGCCCGAGATCAGCACCGCCGAATTGACGGCACTGTTCGTCTCCAGATCCTTGATCACGCGCTCGAACTCATCGCTCACCTCGGAGCCCAGTGAGTTGACCTTGGCATTGGGCGAGTCAATGCGGATGACCAGGACCCCGTTGACCACTTTGGTGTGCAGATGTTTGTTGGCGGCGGCAGCGGCCGCTGCCGGAGCGGGATTTGTGGACATGAGACGACGGGCCGAGACGGGCAGAGCTGTGAAGGGTTCCAAATCTAGATTAGCATCGCACTCCAAGTGGAAATCGACAAAAAAAAAAAAACTTAAAAAGCAGAGGCAGCGAGACAGAGACAGCCAGACGAGCGGCGACGTCAAGAGAGAGTACAAAGTGCAAAGTCCAGTTATGCGGCGTCGACGAGGAAGAATCGATGAGAGGGCAGACAGCGACACAGCTAGAGAAAGCCACTATCTTGGGGACAAGCTCGATGATTCTCGCCCAGATTCCGGACTCCCCCGTTCCCTTAAATTCTGTAAAATCCCGAATATTACCTACCTCTAGAGCACCTATTCTGCAGAAATTGCTGTCGCGACAGTTGGCCAACAGCACTCAGGAATCTCGTTGCCGACATTGCTTCGTCTTATATGTGGTTCTCTTATCTTCGGCTCGTTCACTTTTCGCTTAATAATAGTGTTCGAATGAACCTTGCTCCGGCGCCGTTAGTTATGAGTTCGCGTTGGTGATATAAAAAACGATGCGGCAATTGTTCAACTTGTTGCACATCAGGGCTGGAAACGAATTTAGCGAAATTATCGATATATCGATTTGAAAATCATCGGGGAACGGGATTTCGAATCCACGGCGGATGGTCACACAAAGTGCGGCACAAGCAAAACATCGAGAGCTTTCAGTTTCGCAACAATACTATCAATATCTTAAAAAGTTCAATAATATATATGTATTTAAATGTAAGTATTATGTCTCTGCCAGTGCATGAATTTTCCCAAAACCTGTAAGCTAAGCTGTCGAACATAGCAATATTCGAATGTTCAAAATCAGTTGGATACTGCCCGTTATTAAAAAATCATTTTTCAAAACAATTACGGACGGCTAACTTCGTTTAAATTTTGATTTATAGACAAAATTGTCATATAAAATATAGAAAAAATCGACTTAAAGAAAGGTATTATAATTTTAGTCAGAAGCTTGTAAAACTATGAAGGAGTCATTTCCGACCCCATAAATCATATATATTCTTGATCAGAATCATCAGCTTAATTGATCTAACAATGTCCGGTTGAAAAAAAATATTTGAAAATTTTTTCGATTTCTGCAAAAATTGATAAGGGGTTACATCATTAAAATTGTCAAAAATTGGAAAAAAATCTAATCTCTTAAAATGTTAAATTGAGTATGCAGTTTTTTTAAGCTGGTAAAAATTAGCATTGAAACGGTTTTCGAATTGAAATTAAAACGTTTTTGGCTAAGTTATGAATTTTTTAAGCTTTGATTGGTCGAAAAAAATGTAGTAAAAAAATTTATACAAATATTGACTCAAAGAATGGTATTCTAATTTAATTCAGAAAATGTTTACGTTATGAAGGAGTCATTTCCGAGTATGCAGTTTTATGACCCTGATAGTAAACAACATAGGGCCGTTTTCCGAAATAAAATTAAAACGTTTTTGGCTAAGTTATGAATTTTTTAAGCTTTGATTGGTCGAAAAAAATGTATAAAAGTGATGTCTAATTTTGACCAAAAGAATGTTATTCTAAATTTAGTCCGAAGCTTCTTACGCTATGAAGGAATCATTTCCGACCCTATAAATCATATATATTCTTGATCAGCAT